ACCATATCATGCCAGCATGATGCCAGGCCATGCCCCCCAAATCGCATGATGCCAGGCCATGCCCCCCAATCACATCATGCCAGGCCATGCCCCCCAAATCGCATCATGCCAGGCCATGTCCCCCAAATCGCATCATGCCAGGCCATGCCCCCAAATCGCATCATGCCAGGCCATGCCCCCCAAATCACATCATGCCAGGCCATGCCCCCCCAATCACATCATGCCAGGCCATGTCCCCAAAATCACATCATGCCAGGCAATGTCCCCCAAATCACATCATGCCAGGCCATGCCCCCCAAATCACATCATGCCAGGCCATGCCCCCCCAATCACATCATGCCAGGCCATGTCCCCCAAATCACATCATGCCAGGCCATGCCCCCCCAATCACATCATGCCAGGCCATGCCCCCCAAATCACATCATGCCAGGCCATGCCCCCCCAATCACATCATGCCAGGCCATGTCCCCCCAATCACATCATGCCAGGCCATGCCCCCCAAATCACATCATGCCAGGCCATGCCCCCCCAATCACATCATGCCAGGCCATGCCCCCCCAATCACATCATGCCAGGCCATGTCCCCCAAATCGCATCACGCCAGGCCATGTCCCCGAACCGCATCATGCCGGGCCATGCCCCCCAATCGCATTGTGCTAGGCAAAACCCCAAACCTAGTTGCGCCCGGCCACCCCAGGCCCCGACAACATCCGCCCAGGTACCTCCCGGATCATTTTGCATGGGCCCATTACTGGGAAGTTCAGCTGCGCAAGTCCTCGTGCTGCATTGATTCCATTTGACGGTCCAACCGAAACCGTTGGTCATTATTAACGTTGATCACTCGATCGTTTACAGATCTGCTGTATTCGCCATTTATTGATATTATATTATTAACCGTTATATGGTCGGTATGGCCGTTTATTGTACGACACCATTCGTTCGGTCATTGCTCGTAGTTGGCGCTGCATGCAGCCAACAAGTTATCAAGCCAGCAAGAATGGCGGCAACTGATGATGATGACCATGATTATAATGATGACGATGACGATGATGATCATGATGATCATGATGCCGATGGCCTTTACAGCAGTTGATTGGAATGGCGGCAACTGATGATGATGATGATGATGACGATGATGGTGATGATGATCATGATGATGATGCGTCTATATGCCGCCGCCAACGTTGCCGCCGCCGCTAGCCAACTGGCCAGCAGCGGCGGCGCCCGGCTGGGTGCAGCTGGGTGCGGAGGAATTGCACCCAGCAGTGCACCTGAAGGAAAAGGGACAAGGCGGGGGAAGGGCGCGGGAGGCCAAAATACGGTTAGCAGTACGACACAACTAACACACACATAATTAGGTGACAGTTGCAAGCAAGGGTACCGCTGCTGGTCCCCACCACGCACACCCCATGCACCAAAACCCCAAGCCCATCCGCACCCACCTCAGCCGGGCCCATCATCAGCAACGCCCGCTCGGTGCCACTGGGGCGCACAGGTTGATGCCCCAGCCGCACCTGAAGAGGAGGTGCGTGATGAAGGGGGAAACGGCCAGAGGGGATAGGTAAGGGGGCAGCATACACGGGGGGGAGGGGGGTAAAACACCAAATGTCATTATTTTGCCCAAAAGTCACAAGGCCTCGTTGCGACACGTGCGCTGCGGCCCTGCGGCCTTTTTCCACGACCACTAGTTGAACCCAAATCACGAAGTACGCACCACACCCTCACCCACGTCGCCCACCCACCCATCCACCCACCTGAGACGGGCGTTATAAAAGTACGGCCGGCCCCTGCGTGCGGGTGCCGGCAGGCCGGACGACTCGTACGCCCCGAGTCCCGGCAGCCAGTCGACCCTGCATTCGGGTCCTGGCACCAGGGAAGCTGCCGCAAACCCTGGCGATAAAGGGCCCGGGCCATGGCCACTGCTGCAGCTGCTTGCTGATCTGCCGGCTGCTGCTGCTGCTGCTGCTGCTGCTGCTGACTACATAATGAAAAAAGTAAAAATACGGTGACAGGAAGTGCAAAGGCCTGGGAAAACCCATAACCTCTACAACCCCGGCACCCTAATGCACGCCTTAGCTTATTAGGCTGAGGCGCATTACTAATCTATAATAACATATTTAAAACAGAGTAAATAAATAAGTAAATAAATAAAGCGGAAATAGATATCATGGTTCAGCTTTATTTATTCATCTATTATTTAATAAGGTGTAGCCTGAGGCTACTAGCCTCCCCTTAATTAGGTAATCCCCAAACAAATGAAAATCAATTGTGCACAACCAGGGCTGTGGGCACCACAAACGAAAACACGACAGACTGTACACGCGCGGCAACAGCCGCGACACGCGCACACTCGCTGATGCTGGTTGTTGGCTGCTGGCTGATAGCTGCGTAGCGTAGCCCATTTAGGCAATATAACTGGCTGCAGCTGCTGGCTGGTTAGATAACGCTAGCTACCATCCACAAAACCCAGCGACGACAATAAAACCGGCCGGTCACCACCAACTGTCCACCAACTGTCCACCAACTGGATCAACATCTGCCAACCTCTTCCAACCAAACATATCTCCAACGGACAACTTCCACCATGACAACCATATCTCTCGACCCGATCCTCCATATCTTTGGACTCCCTTATTTTCCTGCTTTGAACTAGTCCTTCCGTTTGCAACGAATGTCGTGGTTTGAGCAAGGATGTCTCCCTTTTCATCTTTCTTTTGTGCATGGTAGGTTTGAAAGCGGAAGGGTGAAAAAGGCCGCGGTGGCAGCAACGCCAGAGGTGAAAAGCCGCAGCGGCGGCAGGGAAAGGTAATGCA